ATGTGACTATTAAAATATTTCCTGGAAATTTTAAAAATATAAACTAAGACAAGTAGAGTCACATATTTCTTGCTTATTTAGAATTATTCAAGGGTTCAAAGTGGCATACAAGTTTTGAAATATAATGAACATATGTTGAGATATTTGCATGTCTAGATTTCGGAATAGCTTTGTCATTTTGTACATAAAATGGCATTAATTTATGCTGAGAAAATGTAAATGCTTTCCCTTATTATTTTGTACAAGCTCAAAGTAATTTATAAAAATATTATTTAGTTTTCATAGACAGTGCCCTTTCCAAGGCCATTTAAAAATTATGTTGTTGAGAATATATAAAGCAAAACATACACCACTTCTATATTTTATATATATATATGTGCAATCCAGTAACATTGGTTATATTCTTCTAATTATGCAATCATGCTTATTGTGCATTTCTGACTTGCTCTTTATTCATATAAACTCATTAGTTCCATTTAATCTTTTGCACTAGTATTATCAGTTTTATATTATGTGGATAGTTTTTACAAGATCATAATATACAAAAGAGACTTTTTTTTTAAAATTTTAACCACTAACTTAAACTATTATTTGGTTTTGAAAAAACTTACAGGCATATTTTGGTTAAGATTTAAAGACACTTAGGGTAATAGTTTTGGGAATTAATTCGGCCTCCATGACTCCATAAAGTCTGAGTCCATGAGAATTTTGAATTCTGTATTTTATTCTCCTTCTTTTGATTTGGATTTTTTCCATTGGGTCATAGAAGTGAAGGTTTTAAAAAAGCACGTAGATGGATGTAAAATAAATCAGTGTGTTTTTCTTTAAAAGCATTTAGATAAGCCTATAAAGTAAACAGAAGTTCTAGGAAGGTATTCATTGCTTTGGACAGTTAACTATTCAAGATTAAAAGGAAGGTGTTTGCCCAAGGACAAAGTTAAGTGGGGAGAAAAGGTTAGGGAAGAAGCTGGATTGAGAACAAGAAACATAGGCAGGAAGTAGGTTGAGTTATGTTACATTGTGGGGATTGCAATCTGTGCCATGAAGCAAAATGTATGCGAACTGATCATTAGAAATTCCGTTTATTCTATACACTTTTATCCAGTAGTGTATGAGTTGTTAAATGAAAAACTGATCTGTGTAAGTTTTTACCTAATTCACAATAAAAAATTAGAATAAATTAATTTATACAAATTACTGTTTGAAATGAAATTCTTAATTATTGTATATTTCAGATACATATTGGGAGTTCTGATAGCATAGTCCATAGGAAATTATAGTGCTGATTCAAAGGCAGTTCAAATCCATCAGCTGCTCCTTGGGAGAGGGATGAGCAATATCCTTCCATTCAGTGTATATCCTTAGAAACTCAAAGGAGGGGCACCTATGAATTATTTCCCATTCAACAACAATGAATTATGAGTCACACACTTTAGAATTTCAGAATACATTTGCAAATATATTATGAATTCTCTTGACTAATGAATGCTCTTTAGTTCCTCTGTACTATATATATTTTATAATGTAACCTTTTTTTTTAAAAAATTTTTTATCAAATCAGATCTGACTGGTACAGGAGGAGATTGTCCCTCCTTTCCTGGCAGAGCATCTGGTGGATTTGAACCTTGCGCCTCTGGGATTGTGGTTGCAGCTCCTTTCCACTAGGCCACCAGAGCTCCCCTATTTTTACTGAATATTATTGATAGAAGTTGGAAGGCAAATGACCAGAAAAGATCTGTTTGTGTTCATTTCACAAAACGGTGAATCACAGAATGAGGAAACTTTATCAAATATTATCATTTATATTGCATGTTTTACATCTAAAATGTAATTTTATTATGTAATTTTTATATAATCTTTCTGAAGATAATGATCATTTAAAAAGAAAATCATCAGAGAACTGCCAAAAATTCAAACTAGATGCAGAAGAGTACTTGGGATCAGAGATAGATAGCATGGCTTACATCAGTGGATCTTGAGTGAAAATAGAGAATTTTGGCAAGATGTTTGGTTGTGTTTTATTGATCATGCAAAGGCTTTCTACTATGTGGGTCATAATAAATTATAGAAAACACTGGGGAGGAATGGAATTAAAGACCAAGAAGCAGTTCTAACAGAACAAGGGCAGGAAAAGTGTGAGACCAGGTTGTATCTTTTCTCCATCTGTTCAATCTATATGCAACAGATAATTCGAGAAAATGGTTATTAAATAGAGTGCAACTTCAGGGTTCAAGGAAGATACATCAACAACTCATTTTGTGCAGATGACAGTCTTGCTGCAGCAACCAAGAAGACTGAAAACACTTACTGATAAAGATCAAAGACTACTTAATACTTTCACTATGGGTTTTATCTCAACATAAAACAAAGATCTTAACAACTGAACAAGTAAATAATATCATGATAAAATGAGAGAATATGGAACTTTTATTAAAGGATTTTGCTTTACTTGGATCCACAATCAACCCCAGTAAAGGAACACTACATGGTTTAAAATGAAGAGAAGTGTGTGGGAGGCTTGTATTCTTTCACTATACCAATTCGGTCTGTATGTTGAGCACATTATTTGAGAAACTCAGTGGACTCTATGAAGAATGTGGCATTTACATTGGAAGAAGACTCATCAGTAACCCTTTCTTATGCAGATGATACAACTTTGCTTGCTGAAAGTGAGGAGGACTTGAAGCACTTATTGCAGAAGATCAAAGACTATCCTCTTCAATATGGACTACATCTCAATGTCAAGAAAACAGTATTTTACCACTGGACTGATAAGCAGCATCATAATAAATGGAGAAAAGATTGAAACTATCAGTCACTTCATCTTACTTGAATCCATGATCAGAATACTTAGTACCAGCAGTCAAGACATCAGGAGATGTATTGTACTGGGAAAGTCTGCAGTCAAGGACCTCTTCAAATCATGAGGGGCAGTGATGTTTGAGAATTAATGTATGCCTTATTCAGGCCATCGTCTTTTTGGTCACTTGCTGTGCATCTGAGAGCTGGACAGTGACAAAGGATGACAGAAGATGAATTGATGACTTTTTAAATTATGGTGCTGGAGAAGAGTGCTGAAGATCCCTTGGACTATCAAAAGAACAAACATCTATATATGTCTTGGAGAAATTTCAGCCAGAGTGCTCCTAGGAGGCAAAGATGATAAAACTTGGTCTCAGATCTTTTGAGCAAGTTGCTAGGAGAGGCTGTTCCTTGGAGAGGGACATCATGCTTGGGAAGGTGGAGGGATGATGAAAGAGAGGAAGACCCACAACCAAATTTATTGACACCGAGACTGGATTCAAGTGGATTCAAGTATGTCAGAGATTGTGAGGATGGCACAGATTATAGGGCAGGCTTTACTTCTGCTGTTCATTAGGTCACTGTGAATTGTGCTTGACAGCACCTAAGAACAATAACAATATGCCTGTGATTATTAATGCCATTTTGGAATTGATTGTTTTTCTTTATTAAATAAGTATAATTTTTGTTGTTTGGGATCTAGCTAGTTCGTAAGAAATCTTTGTACAACAGCATGAAGCATTCCCCAGTCCTGTGCCATCCTTCCATCATTGTTTTGCTTGAGCTCATTGCTGCAGTCACTGTAACAATTTTTTTAAGGATTTTCTTATTTTCCACTGATCTGCTTTACCAAATATGATGTCTTCCAGGGAGAGGCCCCTAGCGGCAACATGACCAAAGTATGTGAGAAAGGCCAGTATTCCTATAGGGTTTTATCCTGAGTCAATCTCTTTTGAGATATAAAAGAGATTAAATAAGCAACCTGAGGGGAAAGAGAGTAGACTTATAAAAGTCACATATGAAGACTGTTCAGGAGTAGAAGCTTAAAAGAGACAAAGGCCTTCCTCCAGAGCTGACAGAGAAGGCCTTCCCTGGAGCTGGCAACCTGAACTCTTGACTTTTTGTTTTCAAAAGGAACCGATGTAATATTTTTCTGTTACAGTAGTTGTTGATAACTGAGAATGAGATACTTCAACAAATACCTAAAATGTGGATGTTGTTTTGGAATTGGGCAATGTATAGACTTTGGAAGAGTTTTACTTAACAATAACAGCCCGGGTCACAGGGAAGAGACAAATCTGTTTGTTAAAGCTACCCATTTTGGTATCTCTGTTATGGTTCACTAGATAACAAAGACAGACAGTGATAAACATGGTTATCTGCTGAAATATCTAAATGAGATTATAAAGGGGCCATATGGTTTCTCCTTTCCATTCCTAGTAAAGTTTAAGAATGTTTCCTTTGTACATCATATTGTTGTTGTTGTTATGTGCCATTGAGTCACTTGCGACTCCGATACTATGTACAACAGCCCTAAACCGTGCTCTATCCCCTGCCAATCTCATTGCCTCTGACACACCCATCCTGATTACCCCAGTCACTGAATCAATCCACCTCATAGAGGGTCGGTCTTCCCCTCCTGCGCTGTCCCTCTACTCTACCCAGCATGATGTCCCTCTCTAAAGACCTGTCTCTCCTTACAACATGTCCAGAGTATGTCAGGCGAAGCCCCAGAATCCTTGCCTCCAAGGAGAAGTCTGGTTTAACTCTCTCTAGGATGAATCTGTTTGTTTTCTTGGCAGTCCATGGTACATTCAGTAACAGCTTTTCATCAAAATCTAAACAAACTACACAAAATTTTGATATTTTGACCAGATTATTTTCCACTTACTATATTATTATTATTATAATTTATTATAATAAACATGATATAATGCTGTCTTGATCTGTCGTTTGAATGTAAGGTCACTGGGGTAGAGCTGTTTGTTCTTAGAATTCTCTGGAATCCTGCCTAAATATTTGTGTACTTAGAGGATGACAGTAGATCATTTGAAGAGTGTCATGTGATATAGATGCCAGTGGTAAAAAGAAATGTTTTTAGTTGGCTAGCCTGAAGTAATTTTGTCAGCTCTGTTTTACTGTGATGATTTTACACAATACAATAGTACTTGAAGATAATGCAGTATTATTTTGTTTAGAATCATTGCCATTATCGGGGCTATGTGGAGGGAGTTTATAATTCATCTGTTGCTCTAAACAACTGTTTTGGACTCAGGTAAGGAATTTTCTTTACCTTCCTCCCTCTTGTGTTCCTCTTTCACCTGTTTTTCACTCTCACTATTTCTTTATCCAGATTAAGTGATTTAGGGAGACTTTTAAAAAGTTAGATTTTACTTTGATCTTGGTGAAGATTTTCATAGCTCTATTGTAGTAATCACTCTTAAAATGTTTGTCTAGGAAAATGTTATAGTTGATGCATTATCATACCTAAATGGAGTATTTTGTATTTGTTGAAGCTATTAAATACTTTTTTATCTTTGAAGTATACATTAAATTTCTAATATGTCATGTTAAAAAATCTTTTGCCTATATGTTTTCACTTAATTCTCATAATGATTCTGCAAAAGACTTCATATTTTCATATTTAGATGGAAAACTGAGATTAGAGAAATTGTAACACACAGCAAGTGAAGTGATGATAAGATTAAAGTTATATTTATGAATTTCATTGTGGTAGTCAGTTAGCTATAGGATTGAACTAATAAATATTACTTAAATCATTTTCAAACCAATTTCATAAAGTAAGTAGTACTAGCTCCTTTCAAACAGTAATATTTATTGAATATTCAAAGTGTTTTGTACTCATTAAATAGTTTAGTCACCTGTTAGTTCATCATACTGTATTGGCTTGTGTGTGCTATGGTTTCAGACGCTATGACACCATTATTTTAAATATCAGCATTCCTATAGTGTACAAGTTTGTCAAATTTTCCTGACTAACATAGATTTTAAGAGGAAAGGTCTGGTTATCTACTTCTGAAAATTAGACATTTCAGTCAAGGTGATGATAGCAACAGAACATTGTCTGATGTACTACTGGAAGAGAACCCAGATTGGGAAGCACTCAAAATATGACACAATAATCACAGAGAAAGTGCAGTGGTAGATAACTTTCTGTTTTGTCATACATAAGGTTGCCATGTGTCAGAGCCAAGTCAACAGCAACAACTCTCAATATAATACATTCTTCATAATCTAGGAAAGAATGTAAACTAAGGCATAGCTTACATAATTTGATAAAAGCCCTACAGCTAATAGGGAACAAATTAGGTATTTGAGTTATGGTCCTCTGACTCAGGACCCCACACTTTTATGAGCTATCCTGTAAATTTTCTCATTACTGTAAGCACTCAGAGAATTAACTTCAGGATAGTGATGTTAGTAAGTTGCAGTCTTGACTTAAAATTCAAGTTTGTTTGATTGTATGAAAGAGACACAATGGGAATGAAAGATATGTGCAACAATGTATACGAACTTTGTAAGCAAACCAATATAAAATAAAAAACCCCCCAAAATTGCTACAATAAAAAAAAAATAAAGTTTGTCTGATATGAAAACTTGTAATTTTTTTCACTACCTCCACTCTGGGACTTTGGCTGTTTTCTGGATCTGATGGTAGTCCTGATGGTCACGTGAGAGAGTTGTTTTGGGTCATGTCTGATGTCTATTGCTGCTTTTTTCCTCTCAAGCGCAGGTGTCCTTGATCATTTGCCTAGGGTGGAAGTCTGCTCAAAGGCGTTGGCTTTAAAAACCTTGGGCCTGTGGCCGTCAGGCCAAATTTATTAATTTTTGAATGAATATTTCTTAAACAGCAATCTTTTGTCTATATGCTGAACTAAACAACTTGGTGTTGCTGTGATGCTGCACACTATTCTATAGTCTTATCAAATACCATAATGGTTACCTGTTATATACAATGTTTGGATGACCTTCCAGACTGATTTATGCTGGGAAGCAGGAATGGCATCCACCTCTGGAAACTCTACAAACTCTCTAAACTCTATAAATGTACAGAAATGATGTTAGTTAGAGAACAGAGTTCAGTTTAGGTCTTTTGTGCAAAACTTACTCTCAGTTGTATTCGATTTGATGACACTTAACCACTGCTAAATGAAACTAGTGCTGTTTATATCTGGAGGAACACTCTTCCACTTTGTAAATCACTCTTTGTCAATGTGCAATATGAAGTAACTTGGGTTGCTGTGATGCTGAACCTTATACCACTAGGGTATCAAATACCGGAATGGTTTCCCAATATGGACAGTAGTTGGTGGAGCTCCCAGTTGTCAAACAAGTTTGGAAATAGGAGTGGCATCCACTTCCTAAACCACATGCTTCTGGAAACTCTGTGAAGTTGGAATTGATGATAGTTATGGAAAGGCATAAGGTCTTTTTTTCATAGAGTCTCTATGAGTCACTCTTGACTCGACAATAATCAACAACAACACTTTTTTACACTTGTTCTAAATTGGAATTTGAATTTAGAGTTTCTGATTCCTTTTCCTCTTTTTTCCTTTCTTAAAAATTGTATATGTGATATCACAACTTTTAGAGGACTGCTTCATTTAGATGATACAAGCTATGGGATTGAGCCTCTGCAAAACAGTTCTCATTTTGAGCATATCTTTTACCGAATGGATGATGTCCACAAAGAGCCTCTGACATGTGGAGTCTCCAACAAGGATGTAGAAAAAGAAACCACAAAGGATGAAGAGGAAGAGTTTCCAAGCATGACTCAGCTACTTCGGGTAAGAGAATAGTTTAATTCCTAATGGTTCACATTACTGTTTGGAGAAACAATATATTTATCTAGGAAACCAATGCCTACTTGTTTGTTTATTTATTGATTGCATTGTGCCAGACATTGTGATGGGTGCTAAGGAAGAAATACAAAGGTGAACAATTTGCAGGTCCTGCCACTATGCTGATTTACGTTTTAGGAGGTGTAGCATTTCTGGTTTAACTAGGACTTAAATCATAAAGTACTTGACAGTTTTTGTCAGCATTGTAATATAATATAGTCCATTCCATATCTTTCAGATAGCAGTGGAATTTTTCATTTTGATCTCTCCTACACAAACTAGAATGGATTCTTGAGCTTTAGATTAAAGAAACAGGTTTGCTTGTAAAGTTTTAACTATTTGAGATATCATCTAAGAGTAGTTGTATCCCGTTTTGAGATAGCATTAGGATTTCTTGCCTTATTTTCCAGAGTTTTCAGGGTGCTGTCATTAGATAGTTAGCTGCTAGCCAAAAATATCAGCACTTGGAACCTCCCAGCCACCCCCTGGAAGAAAGTTGAGGTAATTTGCTTCTGTTGTGCGGGGAGAAGGGTGCAACAATGAATGAATGGAATTCCAAAATCTCTGTAGATGTTCATTGAAATGAAAAATAAACAACCTAAATTAAAAAAAAAAAAGATGCATAGACTTGGAAATCTTATGAGGCAGTTCTCCTGTGTACTAAAGGAGGGGTGCCATGAGTCAGAATTGACTTGATGTCAGTGGGTTTTGTATCACTCTTGGCATAGATCTCTGACTGAAGTGGTTCTAGATCTAGATCAACCATCCCTGCTGAAAATATACCTTAGAAAGATGGTATTTCTATATTAGAAGAGGCATGTGCCTATGACTTATTCTGTAATGCCCAGTATATTAACTCATATTAGTTTATTATTTTTTTTATTGTCTCTTCTATCACCGAGTCTTGATGATTGGGCTATTCCTTTTAACTTTAAACATTGGAAACATTTGCATTTTAGCTTATTCTGCTTTATTTTAAGGGAGCTGGTAGCCTAGTGGGTAAGGAGTTGTGCTGCTAACTGAAAGGCTCTAAACTACCTACTGCAGGAAGGTGATTATTTACAGTCTCTGAAAACTGGAAGGGTCAGTTATGAGTCAGTTTTGACTCGATAGTACATAACAATAGTAACCGTATCATAGTAACTTCCGCAAAGTCACAAAACTACTCTTTTTTTTTTCTTTATTATTCATTATTTATTTTGGGGTGAAAGTTTACAAATCATATTCTCTTTTCATTCAGTCACTCATAAGCATTTTGTTTTCCTATCTTTTTTCTTTAGGATATGTCACTAGTAGTGTAATTGTAGATCAAATGGTATTTCTATTTCCAGATTTCTAAGGAAGTACCAAACTACTTTCCACAGTGAACTTTTTTTTTTTAAAGTAGCTACTTCGCCCCTATGTTGGCTTTGAAGAATAGTAGAATTTACCGTTAAAGTGTGCTTATGTGTGTGTTTGTATGTTTATGATGTATGTGTGTGTAATTTAGGTTTTAGAAATATCAATACATCTGTTTAGAACCTGAAGTAAGTAATTTTGTTTGACTCGTATTTTCCTCAGATTAGTTCAGGTACTGTATATTATTGGTTTTGTTTGTATCAAAATTTTGGTTTTGTCTTTATTGACCTAGAACGTGTTAAGTTAAATAAGTTTAGGATGACCTTAGTATATGGGAAATAAGTGACTGTAGATTGGGGTGTGATGATTACATATATAACATAGCCTTGTAACTTTTTTTGGTTTGTGATTTTGACAGAGAAGAAGAGCTGTCCTACCACAGACCCGATATGTGGAGCTGTTCATAGTAGTAGACAAGGAAAAGGTAGGATGGATGAAACTTTTTCTTCTTTTTCATGAAAAACAGATGAGAAATGAGCATTACCAGGTGTGATATATGAAATAAACATATACATATATAATTCGTGTATGTTATATTAATTTTTCTTACATGATAATTTTAATACAAAAATTGCATCTAAAAATTAAATTTCAGTGCTTTTGAGTCAGTTCAAAGATATAGTTGGTTCAAACCCTCCATCAGGTTCAAGGCTGTAAATTGCAGTGAAGAAGACTCCCTTAAAATCTCTATTGGATTTAAACTGCCAATTATATGCACTGCCAAATCTCCTATTAAACCTGCTCAGTATTTATAATAAAAAAAATTATACATATATAATTTGTACTTTGGAGAGGTTGCTGATAGCAGACTTTCCCAACACAGTATGTCTTTTAATTTCCTGGCTGCTGGTGCCAAGAATATTGATTGTGGAGCCAAGTAAACTAAAGCTGTTTATAATCACAATCTCTTCACCATTCATCAGATGCTGCCAATTGGCCCAGTGGTGAGAATCTTTGTTTTCTTGATATTGAGCTTCAATCCATGTTGAAGGCTGCAGTTTTTGACCTTCTGCAGCAAGCGCTTTAGAGGCCCTCCTCAGTTTCAGCAAGCAGGGCTGTGCCATCTGTATAACGCAGATTGTTGATGAATTCCTCCAATCCTGATGCCACATTTCTCCTCATAGAGCCCAGCCTCCCAGATAATCTGTTCTGCATAAAGATTGAAAAGTTAAAGAGATAGGACACATTCCTGGCAACCATGCAGTGTTCCCTTGCTCTGTTCTGACGACTGCTTCCTGGTCCAAGTATAGTTTTCGTATAAGCATGATCAAGTGTTCTGGGATTCCCATTATTCACAGAGTTAGCCATAGCATGTTGCAAGGAGGGACCAGTCCTTGGAGAGGAACATCATGCGTGGAAAGGTGGAGGGACAACACAAGAGAGGAAGACCCTGGATGAGATGGATTGATTCAGTGTCTGAGGATAGGTGTGTCAGAGACAATAAGATTGGCACAGGATAGAGTAAGGTTTAGGGTTGTTGCTCATAGGGTGAATATGAGTCACAGGTGACTCGATGGCATATGACGAAAACAATATAATTTGTTTATGTGTGTATATACACTCACATAGTAAATGATACCACCAACAATTTTATTTTTTTCTGCTGAATTCCACTCTCCCTCATTTTTTATTTGTTTTGGTAGCATTCTTAGGCTGAATTTCTTAAAACTGTATTGCCAATCAATTAAGGTCTTGAGAACTTTTCAGATGACATTAGAGGACTGTGGCTCTGAATAAAGTCAAACTGGTGTTGCTTCGCTATTTAGAATTTCAGCTAGTCAATACTTAACCTTTAGAGAAAATATCAATATCTTTACATACTTCAGAAATCACCTTTAAATCAAAAAGTCTACTGATTGTGCAACAATGAATGTATGGAAATCCAAAGTTTCTAAATTTTTACTGAAACTAATAATAAATTTAAAAAAACACACAAAAACAACAAAAAAAAGGATACTGATTTATTTCAGCATTTGGTGTTAATTTCACTGCACATAGATAACAGAAGATTTTCCCTATCTATATTGATTCAGTGACTGGGGTAATGTGGGTAGATATGTCAGAGACAATAAAGTTGGCACAGGATAGAGTTAGGGTATAAGCTATTTATTGTACATAGGGTCGCTATGAGTTGCAAGAGACTAGACGGCACATAACAATAACAGCAACAATATTTGTAAAGTCCATTTTTCCTAACTAAGGAAAATAACTTATCTTAGCATTTATAAGTATCAATTTTAGACATAACCACCATATTTTAGATATGAATTACTTGAAAATTCATCTTATTTTTAGTGCCAACTTTGATATTTGTATGAAAAATTTCATGTAGAAACTTAGTGTAATTGACCATCCCTCATTTGTGAACTACAGAGATAATTTTGAGGATTAAAAAAAAATATCTTCTAATGTGTAGGTTAAAAAAATAAGCTATTTCATTCTGAAATAAAATCTTTTTCAGATTTACTGACTGTAGATTCATCCCCACAAGTGGCAGAAGGAAAAACATTGAATTCTAGGACCCAAATAATAAGTGAAAAATTTTGTACAATGTTTTGGACAAAGCACAAAAATAGAGATTTACTCCTATCTTCTTTTATTCTATTTTCTTATATTTCTTTAAAAAATTTTTTAGATTTTATTCTGATTTGTTTACAAAGTTTGAATATATTGTTTTGTACAAAAGATCCTTCCTATTTCCTTCACCCCACCCACCCACTGAATTGTGCAACCCTGTGATTAACACCATACCCCCCATTCTCACCCCTCTATTTCCACCCCTCCCCCCACCTTGGATCTTCATACTCATTCTACAATAATGGTTTTTTATACAGTATTTGCCCTTGTGGGACTGAGTTAGTTCACTTAGCATAATGCTCTCCAGTCCCTTTCAAGTTAGGTAGTAATTTACAAAATCATTGCTCCTCTGTGCTTGCATAGTAGTCCATTGTATGAATGTACCACAATTTCTCAGTCCATTCCTTTGTGGTTGAACGTCTGGATTGTTTCCAGGTCCTTGTGATGGTGAATAATGCTGCTATGAATATTGGTTTATGGGTTTCCATTTGAGCCTCAGTTCTCATTTTCTTGTGGTATATTCCAAGCAATGGAATAGCTGGATCATATGACATTTCTATGCTCAGCTTTTTGAGGAAGTGCCAAACTGCCTTCCAGAGTGGTTGTACCATTGTACAATCCCACCAACAATGTAAAAGGGTTCCTATCTCACCATACCCTCTACAATATTTATTGCTTGCTGTCCTGTTAAACTTTGCCACTGCTACTGGAGTGAGATGGTATCTCATTGTGGTTTTGATTTGCATCTCTCTTATTGCCAGTGATTTTGAACATTTCTTCATATGACTGTTGGCTATTTGAATATCTTCCTCTGTGAAAGTTCTTTCCATAATCTTTTGCCCCTTTTGTAATTGAGTTATCAGACGTTTTCTTGTGGAGGCCCGGGAGTTGTCTCTAAACTTTAGTTATGAGATTCTTCTCTGAGATGGTATTGCCAAATATTTGCTCTCAGTCATAGGTTTTCTTTTCACCCTGTTAGAAAAAGTTTTTGATGCACACAGAGATTGAATCTTTAGAAGGTCCCATTCATCAATTTTATCCTCTTCAGATTGTACATTTCTGGCTTCCCCCCCCCCCCCTTTATACCATAGACTAGGACTTCTATGCTTGATCCCATTTTGTCTCTTAAGAACTTTACAGTTTGGGGCTTTATTCTCAAGTCTGTTATCCACCTTGAGGCGATTTTTGTTTATCCTGTTTCAGCTTTATTCAGATAGCAGTCCGGTTTTTCCAGCACCGTTTGTTGAAGAGGTTGTCATTTCTCCATTTGATAGCTTTGATTTCCTTGTTGAATATCAGTTGAATATCAGTTGACCCTAGATAGCTGGGTCTATTTCTGGATTCTCAGTTCTGTTCCACTGATCTTTGTGCCTGTCATTGTACCAGTACCATGTTGTTTTGGTTACTATTTCTGTGTAGTAGGTTTTGAGATCAGAGAGTGCTATACCTCCCACTTCTTTTTTTTGTTCTCTTCAGATTAACTTGTTTTGTATAGGTAGAAAATGGCTAAAAGAAAATGTTTTTATTTAAGTCAAACTTATCAAATGTATGAAAATGTTTTATTTTTGTTTTAAGATAATCAAAATAAGAATGCCTAAATGATAATTATGCATTCTGATATTAGTACCTGAATCAGAGCACAATCACAAATTCTTTTCAAAATTTAATTTAGTTTGTTGCTAATACAATGTTAAAATTGAGACTGAGAACTAACCAGATTTCAAAGTGATAAGTTATATCAGTTATTTAGATTAATATGGTTAAACTTTTATGTCTACATGTTGTTGTTGTTGTTGTTATGTGCCGTCGGGTCGTTTGCGACTCATAGCGACCCTATGTACAACAGCCCTAAACCCTGCTCTATCCTGTGCCACTCTCATTGCCTCTGACACACCCATCCCGATTACCCCCATCACTGAATCAATCCACCTCATAGAGGGTCTTCCCCTCCTGCGCTGTCCCTCCACTCTGCCCAGCATGATGTCCCTCTCCAAAGACCTGTCTCTCCTTGCAACATGTCCAAAGTATGTCAGGCGAAGCCCCATAATCCTTGCCTCCAAGGAGCAGCCTGGTTTAACCCTCTCTACGATGAATCTGTTTGTTTTCTTGGCAGTCCATGGTACATTCAATACTCTTCTCCAGCACCACAGCTCAAAGGCGTCAATTCTCCTTCTATCCTCCCTAGTCATTGTCCAACTCTCTGATGCATAACAAGTGATTGCAAAGACCATGGCCTGTATCAGGCGCACCTTAGTCTCCAGAGAGACACCGTTGCTCTTGAATACTTTAGAGAGGTCCCTAACAGCAGACTTTCCCATTGCAATACGTTTTTTGATTTCCTGGCTACTGTTGCCAAGAGTGTTGACCGTGGAGCTGAGCAAACTGAAGCTGTGAACAATCTCAATCTCTTCACCATCCATCCTGATGCTACCGATTGGTCCAGTGGTGAGAATCTTTGTCTTCTTGACATTGAGCCTCAGTCCATATTGAAGGCTGCAGTCCTTGACCCTCTGCAGCAAGTGCATGAGTTCCTCTTCAGTTTCAGCGAGCAAGGTTATGTCATCTGCATAATGCAGATTGTTGATAGATCGTCCACCAATCCCAATGCCACGCGTCTCCTCATAGAGCCCAGATTCTCAGATAATCTGCTCTGCATACAGGTTGAAAAGGTATGGAGACAGGACACATCCCTGACGTACACCCTTCCCAATTTTGAACCATGCAGTGTTGCCCTGCTCTGTTCTGACGACTGCCTCGGTCCAAGTATAGGTTTCGCATTAGCACGATTAAATGTTCTGGGATTCCCATTCTTCTCAGAGTCAGCCACTGTTTGTTATGATCCACGCAGTCAAATGCCTTTGCATAATCAATGAAACACAGATAGACATTCTTCTGGTATTCTCTGCTTTGAGCTACGATCCATCTAACATCAGTTACAATATCCCTAGTACCACGACCCCTTCTAAACCCAGCCTGGACTTCTGGCAGTTATCTGCTGATGTACTGTTCCAGTTGTTTTTGGATAATCTTTAGTAGAATCTTGCTTGCATGTGAAATCAATGATATTTTTCTGTAGTTTCCACACTCAGTTGGGTCGCCCTTCTTTGGGATGGGAACAAATATAGACCTCTTCCAGTCAGTTGGCCAAGTGGTTGTTCTCCAGATTTCTTTGCACAACTTGGTAAGCACATCCACGGCAGCATCTGTTAGCTGAAATATGTCAATTGGTATACCATCTATTGGGGCCTTATTTTTTGCTATTTCCTTCAAAGCAGCTTGAACTTCTTCCTTCATCACCATAGGCTCTTGCTCATATGTTATTTCATGAAATTCTTCTGTGTCTGCCAATTCCTTTCGATACAGTGACTCAGTATATTCCTTCCATCTTCTTTTAATACTTCCTGGATCATTTAATATTCTGCCCAAAGCATCCTTGATTGGAGCAACTCGAGGTTTGAATTTGTTCTTCAGTTCCTTGAGCTTACGAAATGCTGAACGAGTTCGGCCCTTTTGATTTCCCAACTCTAGCTCCTCACAAATTTCATTGTAGTATTTTATGTTTACATACACTTGTTTTAACTAATGATCATTGATTAATCTCTAAAGTTAGAAAGAGTTTATTAATAATACCTTTAGCACAAGAGGTGTAGGGCTCAGGAAACCTTAGCAATTGTTTTTCTTCCTCTGGCTATGCATTTTGGTTGTTTTAAACATAGCCTTGTGAAAGGCTTATAAGTATTTTTGTATTAAAATAGTAAAAAGAACACAAGGAACAAATAATTGTTTTCAAAATATGCTAATTTGAAGAAACATTAGACTTCAATGCTTTTTAAATTATTGTTTCACACTTATATTTATTTTCTTTTATTCCTATTTAATTTCTTAATGTATCATTAACTTTATTAATTTTAAATGTTAGTAAAGGTATACATATATACATTTTTTTGTTCAAAGGAAATATTTAGGCTGTTTTCCTCTTAACAGACCATGGTAATTCTCTTAAATTATTTTGACAATAATGATTTCCTTCTTTGATTTCAGTATGATGCAATGGGGAAAAACCAGACTGCTGTGAGAGAAGAGATGATTCGTTTAGCAAACTACTTAGATAGCGTAAGTTGGATTTTCAGTTATTCGGGATGACTCTGGTTTGTCCCTCCTGGTCTCAGAACAGAATTTAAATTTTATCTTGCCTTATTCTTTTAGTATCTCAGGGTCTCAGTCTTTCTGGTTTGCTTTGTAGTTTCCTTTTAATATTTTTATGTTAGAAAGCAAAATGCAGGACTTTGAGAAGAGAAGGTAGTCTTATATTAGCATGCACGTTATTTTCAGAGTAGATGGGCTAATGTGCTTTCCTTTATAAAAAGGTATTTGAATTTTTATTAAGAAAGTATTGTTTAAAATAAGTTTGCCTCCTTTTCCTTACCTTGTAAGTGGCAGTGTCAATGTGTGTATGTGTGGTTTAGTTTTAGTTCTTAGAGTTTAGCTTGTAGGAGATTATCTGTTCTGACAGAATCAGTCTAGTTAGCAGCTGATCACGAGGATGGTGCTGAACTGGCAGTGCTTTTTCCATTGTGATGGGTTCCGATAGGTGAGAGGCTGAGTCCACAGAATTGTCAACATACACTTCCATCTAAAAGATAAGGCATTCCATAATACTAATGTGGTTATTGTGATGAGGAGGACATTTTCTTGTTTAGTACTTACAACTTACTAGAACCTTAGCTAAGTGCTTAATGTTTATTATTTATTCCTTAAGTATTTTTAAATTATACTATATCCATAACACTTAGCACACATGTGATTAGCCTTTTATATAAGAGTTTAGAAAGGCACTATGACTTATAACCTGCATAGTATACCCTCTTCAGCAGGAACTAGGGAAGTGTTTTGTGTTTAAACTATTAAAATATCTGCTGTGAAATATGAGTATTTACATTAAATGGAATAAATAGATTACAAATAGTCTTGCACCAGTTCAGGATAAGTTTTGCAACCAAATTTACCAAAAAACTTAATTTTCAGGATTTGTCAGATTTTGTAATGGAAGATTAAAAATATTTTGAAAGTTTGTTGTTAGCATCATTTTACAGATGAGTAAACTGTGACTCAGATTAGATTCAGTCCCTTTCTATTGAGGGAAAGATGATTTTTTTGGAGATGGTGATGGTGGATAAAGTCTGCCTTTACTTAAGTAGTTCTGTCACTTGATTTGGTAGTTAAAGAATTTTTCTCATATTCTCTAATATATTTTACATCATTTGTTTTTCTTTTCTTTCTAGATGTATATTATGTTAAATATTCGAATTGTACTAGTTGGACTGGAGATTTGGACAAATGGAAACCTGATTAATATGGTTGGAGGTGCTGGTGATGTGTTGGGGAATTTTGTACATTGGCGGGAAAAGTTTCTTATAACACGCCGGAGACACGATAGTGCACAACTAGTTCTGTGAGTGATTTTTTTTTTAAATACTATTAATGAAATGACCAGGAAAAGAACTTTTATTTTCTTTTATTAGAATTGTATTCTTTTTTGTTTTTTTGGCAGTTAACAGAGAAAAACATAGTTCGATACCATAGGATTAGATGTAATGGTATGATAATGAGAACTCTCTTGCATTGGATTCTCTGTCACCTTTATCCCATGTCTTTCCTGCATTTATACCCTTATTTTGGTAGGCACATTCTGTAGTTGTTTTTTGAGAAAAGGTGTCTAAAAAGAGCAGGAGTGGCATCCACTTCCTAAACAACATGCCTCTGGAAAGTCTATAAACTTTGATAAATATCCATAGTTACAGAAAGGCTTTCAGGCCTTTTGTTCATAGGGTTGCTATGAGTTGTGCTTGACCCGATGACAATCAACAACAACATATAGAAAGAAAAAACTCTGACCTCTTACATACTTGAAAAATGTATTTATCCTGCTCCACGCTTGATTATTTGACTAGGTATAAAATTCTAGTCACAAAGTCTTGTTCTGTCAGGATTTCAAAGTCATTGACTTCCTGTATTACTATTGAGAAGCCTGAAGCCATTCTGTATTCTCATCTTTTGCATGTGATCTGTTTTTCCCCCCTCTTCTTTGGAAACTTGTATGATCATCTCTTTTTTTTTTAATTTTTATTATTTTTGTGTGCGTGTACTGTCAAATCAGATCTGACTGGTACAGGAGATTGCCCCTCCTTCCCCGGCAGAGCATCTGGTGGATTAGAACCGTGCACCTCTGGGACTGTAGTTACAGCTTCTTGCCACTAGGCCACCTGAGCTCCCCAGGATCATCTCTTGATTCCCAGGCTTCTGGATTTTCCTATTGATACTCTTTGGTGTAGATCTTTTATCAGTCATTGTGCTGTGGTTTCAGTAAGTACCTTCAATCTTGAACTAGATAGCCTTCAGTTTTATAATTGTCTTGGGAATTATTTAATAAATGATTTTCTATTTATTTTTATTCTTCCTTTCTTCTGGGATTCCCTTTGTTCAACTATTGAGATTCTTATACTTTTCCTATAATTTTATTATCTTTCTTCTCTTTATTTCACTGGGATATTTAATGAAATTTGTCTTCTAATATTGGTGAAGATCGTACAAAATTGGTTAGAAGTATATTGACAGAGAACTTTAAAAGAGGCTGTGGAAGAAGATTGGGAGTTCCAGGACATCTAACTATGCTTGTATGAATTACATACCCAGACCAAGAAACTGTTGTCCTAACAGCAAGGGACCACTGTATGATTTAAAATCAGGAAAAATGTGTGTTTGGGCTGTATCCTCTCTCCATACATATTCAATCTGTATACTGAACAATTAATTCGAGAATCTCGACTTTATGAGGAAGTGAGGCATCAGGATTGGAGGAAGGCTCATTAACAACCATCATTGTGCAGGTGACACAACCTTGCTTGATGAAAGTGAGGAGGACCTGAAGTGCTTGCTGTAGAGGATCCAGAACTGCAGCCTTCAATATGGATTACATCTCAACATCAAGAAAACAAAAATCTTCACCCCTGGACCAATAGGCAACATCATGATAGATGGAGAAAAGATTGAAGTGGTCAACAATTATATCTTTTTTTAAAAAAATTTTTTTTGTATATTTGGTGATTTATTTATAGGAAATATATTTTTTAAATTATTTTTAAAAAAATTTTACATTGATTTACATATAAACCTCATATATATCATATTTCACACTAGCCTTCATTCTCATTCATTTTTATTTTTATAAAATCAGTCACTATTAAGCCAGTCCTATCATTACCCGGTCTTTCTAGATCCCCTGCGGATCTTTCTCATTTCTTCCCCCCGCCTCACCAATTTTGTGACCCTATGACTGCTCTCCTGCCCACCCTCGACCCTCTGTTCCCCCCTCCCGTCTCCCCTGGGATCTGCATAAATGTTTTACTAGTTATCCTTCTGATTTTACAGTAATAGTCCTATGCTGTATTTATCCTATGATATTGAGTTAGTTCACTAAGGATAATGCTTTCTATTATCTCTCAAATTACATATTAATTTTTGAAATTGTTGCTCTTAATTGCTGCATAGTATTCAGTTGTGTGAATGTACCACAGTTACTCAATCCATTAATAATTTCATCTTGCTTGGATCTATAATCAACATTCTTGGTACTAGCAATCAGGCCATCAGGAGATCTTATAGTTTTGGGAAAATCTGCTGTCAAGAACCTTTTCAAAGTATTGCAGGGACCTCTCCATAATACTGAAGGAGGATCTATGATGTAAGTTTGAAGACTAAGGTGTCTCTAATTCAAGTCACAATCTTTCCAGTCACCTGCAGTTCACGGAGAGCTGGACAGTGAATGAGGATACAAGAGAAGAATTTGTGCATTTGAGTTGTGGTGTTGGAAAAGAGCACTGAGTATCTCATAGACTGCCAAAAGAACAAACAGATATGTATTGGAGAGAGTGCAACCAGAATTCTTTGGAAGCAGAGATGGTGAATCAACAACTCATATATTTTAGACTTGGAGCTCTTGTGTCCTAGTGGCGAGAAGCTGCACTGCAGTCCCAAAGGCATGTTGTTCAAGGCCGTCCCTCCCGTTCGATTCACTGCCTCTAAAAACCTGCCAGAGGTTCAGCTATGGGTAGCTTCCGACTCTGTGATACACAACAAAAACAACAACATTCCTTGGAAAGGGACATCATGCTTAGAAAGGTAGAGGGTCAGAGAAGGGCAGAAAGACCCTCAAAGAGATAGATTTATATTACAATATCTGTGGCAATGGACTCAGTTGTATCAAGGATGATAAAGATGGTGAAGGATTACCTACCATCTATTTTTCATAAGAATCTTACTCCACTCGACAGCACTTAACAACAACAACAACAATGCTGTTTTTATATAATCAAGTTCTTAATAATTTTTCTAGTCCTTTTGATGATATTACTGGAATATTTTTAAAAATGCATTTTCATGCTTCTGTAAGTAAAATCAGACCCTTGCTATTGAGTCAATTCCAAAAACTTAAATTTATATAAAATTACTCAGTATAAATAAATTTAAGAAATTTACAACAAAACTTTCACAAGTACACTTAAACTTTTAAAAAAAATTTTTGTCTTGAGACAGGCGGATTTTTTGCCAAAAAGGTTCTAATTTACAGTGGTTATTTCCCCCTTCTTTACAATCTCACACTTTGCGGTAGATTTTTCTTTCACCATATTATTTTCTTTTGCAATTATTGTTTAACGCAAAGAAGTGAAAATGTCTACATAGCTTTTTGCTATTTTATGTGCTGGCAAGTCGAGTACTACTATGAACAACAGATCTAAACCCCATCCTGTCCTGTGCGATGATTTCATAAACACGCAGACTTGGTTCTGACTTTTTACATTAATTTTTAGTAAAATAACATGGAAGTGGTTTTCATGTTAGTGAGAATATTCCCTCTAATTCACATCAAAGGTGTCTACAGAGGTTTTTTTTGGTCCATTTTGGTCTTTATCTGTCATGTTAAGAGTCTTTTCCCAGATGAATCACCATTCATGTTCTCAGACTTTCAAGGGGCACTTTAGGAGCCCACTCTTAACCATAAATAAACAGCTGAGGATTACAAGACATCTGGGAACTGGTGAGTTTACTATATAGGGTCGTCTGGCTGGTGTGTTTCCTTGGGAATCTTTTTTTCATCAGTTTCTTTAGTTCTTATCACTTGTGCTGACCAGATTCCCCAGAGAACAACTTACTCATTTATCTAAAAATGTTCCACTGTTTTTTATGTGCTAAATTGTTGGGTAGAGTAGGGAATAAAAATGGACTGAAATTTTTAATCTTTTTTTTAATTTTAAAATTTTTAAAAAAATATTTATTATTTTTTGTGTATGTACCATCAAATCGAATCTGAGGTACAGGAGGAGATTGCTCCTCCTTCTCCAGCAGAGGTGGATTCAAACCACATACCTCTGGGAGTGCAATGCAGCTTCTTGCCACTAGGCCACCAAAGCTCCGTTTAAAATTTTTTTCTTAATGAACTTTTATTTTTTGGAGGAGATGGACCATAAATGAGCTAAATAAATGTGAAGTATGGTATGTTAAATAATTATGTAAAAGGAAAAATCAAACAAGAAGGGAAATTTAAAAGTAATGGACATTGTTGTTACTGCCATATACCTTTGAGTAAACTATGACTCTTTGTAACAACACTTATGAACAAGGGCTCTGAACCTTGTATTCTGAGCCAATCTCACCATTTCCGACATGCCTGACCCTGTTTCCATGGGAAGGTTCCACTGTGAATATGAAGTTTGGATAAAAACTTGAAAGAGGTGAAGAAATAAGTTGCAATAGAGAGTTCTAGACTGAAAGAATAAATCCTGATATGAAGCATGTTTAAGGGAGACAAATGTGACTTTGTTTATTGTCCTTCAACCTCCTCTGTGAATATATTAACTTTGGGTTTATTCCCCTCTTTATTAAAATGTGTTAATGAATGGATATAATGTGATCTTGGAAGGTTTTTTTTCATCTAGAAGGTTAAAATATAAAACAGCTTTGTTTTGTATTTGTCTCAAAAATATATTTCTAATATTAAACTCATTTCTTGACAATAAAAAAGAGGTAAGTCATAACTATATTCTGATTTTTCTTTTTTGCTTTTTAAGATTGTGTGATAATGTAAAGAACATAGTATTTGCGAATTTGATCTTTTTAATGTATAAGAAATAATTGTACATGCACAGTAAAACCAGTGACTTCAAATATTATGCAACCATTGTCTATATTTTAATTTGAAAATGTTATGGTTACCATTTTTCTCACAATTGTAGGCTGCATCAGTTTATGTTTACCATCGAAACAGGAGCAATGTATTTCTTAAGTACAATTTGTAATTTTTGCCTTTTTTCCTTTTTTATTTAGGAAGAAAGGTTTTGGTGGGACAGCAGGAATGGCATTTGTGGGCACAGTGTGTTCAAGGAGCCATGCAGGCGGGATTAATGTGGTAGGGATTTTTAGTTTCAACTTTGACTGCTAATATATATATATAAATTTTTTTTTTAAATTGAGATTTTAATGAAAGTTTATGGAGAACTTGGATTTCCATTCATTCATTATTGCATATTTTCCTCCCTACCTACCCCCCCCTTTGCTTTTCTCTTTGAAAAAATATTCTTTTATTGTGTACTATCACCCCCACCTCAGTCCACTTTGCTCTGCATTTCTTATTCTAGACTGTTGTAGTGCAAATAATACCAAATCATTCCTTTTAAGCAGTTTTATTCCTTATCTGTTTCAATGCAGTGTACATTATTTATCTCCCTTTTCTTAGTTTCCCCCTAACCCTCATATTAGTCCTGTTTTATAACAGTGACATTATGCAGTATTTGTCTTTTTTGTGACGGAAATATTTCACTCAGCATAATGTACTCCAGGGTCACCTATTTTGTATTTCATGAGTTCCTTATTTTTCAGTACTGCTTAGTATTACATTGTGTGTATAGGAACTGCTAACATATATTGACTTTATATTTCCTCTGTGTTTCTTGAACCACTATTTTAGGCATTAAGTGGGATAAAGTAGAAGTAGCAGATGTTTTCTATCCCTACAACAGACTAGATCTTGGTTTCTAATATTTATTATGTGTTTGTTTTATGGATGTGGAAACAAAAGATCTTGTTTGAGAGAATTAAATTGGAACTGTCAGTTTGTTTCCTCATAATGACCATGAATAGTTTATTGGTGCTAAAGTAATCATCTTATTTCTAAAAGGCTCCATGTTCATTTTCAGGATGCTGAAGTCATACCGTTTTCTTATTAAGCTGGATGCTTGGTTTAGCTAAAGGATTCTGTCATTATAATTAGTAGATTTCCTTTTGCAAAAAAAAGAATCCAACCAAGAAATAAAACATTTCCTTTCTGCAGAGAAACCTAATTAATTATTTCGTGTGTTTGGACAGTTTGGACAAACCTCTGTTAAGACATTTGCATCTATTGTTGCTCATGAATTGGGTCATAACCTTGGAATGAATCATGACGATGGACGAAATTGTTTCTGTGGCGCAAAGAGTTGCATCATGAATTCTGGAGCATCGTGAGTGACTGAATTTTTTTTCTTCTTCTTCTTCTTTTTTTTTTAAAATAATGTGGTATTATATAAACCAGTGTTCCCCAAACTCTGCTAAGAGATATGCCAATGTTGGATAAAGCAGGAAAGATCAACCCTGACTGAGTAATTATTAAATGATACGGCGATTAGAAAGAAAGCTTTACATGAAACAATCTTAGAGAGCTTTCGGAAATATTTAGGTAGCCAGAGGTATATAGGTATACTTCCATGAACTCTCCCTGCTTAAACCTGTATATATGTTGTTATGGATGGAATTGAGTCCTCCCGCCACTCAGATTTTGTTGAAGTCCTAACCTCTGTCCTTATAAATATAATCCTGTTTCAAAAAAAGGGAAAATATCCAGGAAGATACACACAAAGACCCTTTCTCCCGAAAGATGAATATGACATGCCATATAACAGAAGGAATCAGTGTGGCCAAGATGTTAATTTTTATTTTTAATCTCCAGAAATATGAGAAAAAAATTTCTATTTTTTTAAAGCTACAGAGTTTTATTTTTCTTATGGTAGCATATACTCTTTTTCTGCTACTGTAAGTTAATATCCCTAGTGAGAGGAAACCTCAAAAGACTAATCTCATTGTCATTCTTATTCCTCAGTCCCCTCTCCCTTGCTGTTTTTTATTTCTTTCTACTATTCTCCTGCTCCTCCTATCATCATTTAATTTTCATTTCTTACCAGATCTTTCTAATCATATAATCATATACATGGTGGGTTGATGTGTGTGTGTGTGTGTGTGTGTGTGTTTCATACTTTTCTTTATTGACATTATGCTTCATACAATCATTTCCATACATTGTGTTTTATGAAATGATTTACCCTTGGACTATGCCCACCATCACCCTGTCTTTTCAGGTTCCTACTGTGTCTTTCCCATTTCCTTTACCCTCTCCTTCCACCCACCAAATTTTGTGGCCCCATGATATCTTCCTACCCATCCTCACCCCTCTGCTCCCACCCTTCACTCTTTGGGCCCCATGTGCATTTTGCTAGTTATCCTTTATTTTAACCATAATGGTCTTATGCAGTATTTGTCCTTATGAGACCAAGTTAGTTCACGCAGCATAATGCTCTTCAGTCTCTCCAAAGTTATGTAGTATTTTTTAAAATCATTGCTCCTAGGTGCTGCATAGTATCCCATCATGTGAATGGACCATAGTTTCTCAGTCACTTTGCTTGTGGTTGGACATTTGATCTATTTCCTTGTTCTTGTGATGGTGAATAATGCTGTTATGAACACTGGTGTACAAATCTGTGTTTGTGTCTCAGTACTAATTTCCTTATGGTATATTCCTAGGAGTGGAATAGCTGGGTCATGTGCAGTTTAGTTTCTGTGTTCAGCTTTTTGAGGAAATGTAAAACTGCCTTCCAGAGACATTATACCATTGTACAATCCCACCAACAGAGTTCCAATCACTCTACATCCTCTCCAACAGTTATTGTTTGATGCCCTGCTAAACCTTGCTACTGGTACTGGGGTGTGATGGTATCTCATTGTGGTTTTGATTTGTATCTCTCTTATTGCTGATAAATTTGAGCATTTCTTCATGTGTCTCTTGGCCATCTGAATGTCTTCCTCTGTGAAAAGTCTTTCCATGTCTTTTACCCATTTTGTAATTGTATTATCAGTCTTCTCCCTACCCCCTTCCCCCTTCCTGGTGGCCTTGTTGTATTCTGTAAACATACCAGGAGATCTTTGTCTGAGTTTATATTACCAAAAAACATATATATTTTTGTATTTTAAAAAAAAAAAACAGAATAAAACAGCAGTCTTTTTTTTTTTTGATCCTATTTCTTCCTTTAGCTGCTGTTGTTAGGTGCCATTGAGTTCAATGCAATTCAACTCAACCTTGTGAACAACAGACCTGAACCCTATCCTGTCCTTTGTCATCCTCTTAATTTCTGACACACTTGAGCTCATTGCAGCACTTACTCTTTCAGTCAGTCTCATTGAGGGTCTTCCTCTCTTGCCGACCCTCCATCTTTCCAAGCATGATGTCCCTTTCCAAGGAACAGCCTGTCCTAGCAACATGCCCACAGTAAGAAAGATGGAGCTTCATCATCTTTGCCTCCAAGGAGCACTCTGGCTACGCTTTCCCCAAGACACATCTATTTGTTCTTTTGGCAGTCCATATCCTTTAGCTACCATCTTAGTTTTCCTTTCACTCGAAAGAAAAAAATCCTTAGCAATTTTTGTTTAGATCATTTTATTTTTTAGTATATCATATTCTCTTTTAAACTCATTGCGAGTACATTTTTCCAACCACTAGTTCATAGAGCTGTTTTTATAGAAAGTGTGCAATGACCACTACATTGCTAATCTCAATAATGATTTATCAAGTCTCTTTCTTGACCTATCAGCAGCATTTGATAAAGTTTCTTGACCTGCCAGCAATGTTTGATACAGTACATTATTTTGTCCTTGAAAATAGTTTTTCCACTAGATTTCCAAGACATTTCCCATTTCTAGGTTATACTTAGATATAAGTTTAACAAGAAATGTGTAAAATTTATGTGACTAAAATTTCAAAACTCTCTTAGAAGACATAAAGTTAGATTAAATATTTGGAAAGACAAATCATATTCATAGATAAAAAGATTCAAAGTCAGAAATATGTTTATTTTCTCCCAAGTAATTCTTAAATTGAATATAACTTGAATAAGAAGAATAAATTTCTTTTTTTTTTTAAGAATAAATTTCTTTCCTGATTTTAAAACATGCTGTATTCTTACTGTGTATACTTGGTATACAAATATAACAAGAATGGGAATCTCAGAACAATTATTTGTGGTCATGTGAAACCCATATATAGGCCAAGAAGGGCTAGATTTACCAGATATTAAAAATGTATTTCAAAGCCTCTGGACAACCATTCCTCATTTATCAACATTGGATCCCTAAGACCAATTAAAATTAGTAATATATGAGGATGAATAATGATTATATTAGATCACAAAATAGAGGTTAGGTTCATTATTATAAATCTACCAAAGTACATCATTATGTAATTGCCCAAATGAGGAGGAATAGTTGCAAACAGCCACAGATGATAGGGAGGTAGAAGGTACAAAGCATGGACATAGGAAAATTGGATATGCAGTGAATGAATACTGACATACTAGGCACTGATGAGCTGAAGTGGGTTTGCATGGGCCATTTAAAATCAGACAATCATATGATCTGCTATGTAGAAAATAAAAAAATGAGGAAAAATGTGGTCTCATTTATAGTATAAAAGACCATTTCTTGATCCTCCAGAAATAGTGTTGTGAGTGACAGGATGCTATCCATAAGCATATAAGGAAGATCTGTTACTACCACTATCATTCAAATATATGCACCAACAACTAGAGCTACAGAGGAGGAAAAAGAAGGTTTCTGCCAACTTTTGCAGTCCAAAATCAGTCAAGATTCATTAATAGTAGGTGATTGGAATACAAAATTGAGAACAAGGAAGAAGAATCAGCAGTTTGACAATATGGACTTTGTGATAGAAATGAGGCTAGAGATACAGTGATAGAATTTTGTAAAATCATTGATTTGTTAATTGTAAATACATTTTCATTAAAAAACACAATGGTGACTACCTATATGGACTGCACCTAATGGCATACAGAGGAATCTGGTTGATTACATCTGTGAAAAAAATCATTGAAGCATCATCACATATCTGTGTGAAAAGTAGGCTAGGCGCCGACTGTGGAACATACCAAGATAGTTGCAATAATGGGCTTAAATATAGCAAAGTTTGTGAAGATGAGACAGGACTGGGCAACATTTTGTTCTCTCTGTATAAGGTTACCATGACGTGTAGCTGACTCAACAGCAACTCACAGCAGCAAATAATTAAAAGAGTACAAGGGAGCTCTGGTGACCTAGTGGCAAGAAGCTGCACTGCAATCCCAGAGATAATGTGGTTCAAATCCACCAGATGCTTTGCTGGAGACGGAGGGCAGTCTCCTCCTGTACCAGTAAGATCCGATTTGACGTTATACACAAAAAATAATAAAAAATAAAATTAAAAAAAAGAGTACAAGAGGGAAGTAAAAACATTATGTCAATGTGTAATGGTGAAAAGAGATTATAATTCGTGGGTTATAGTTCTGGTGGCTATGTGTTGTTGTTATTAGGTGTCATTGAGGCCTCTATGATTCATAACAATCCTGTGAACAACAGATCTTTACCTTGCCCTCCTGCACCATCCTTCTAACACACTTGAGCTCATTGTTACATTTACTGTGTCAAATCATCTTGCTGGAGGTTCCAGAGAAAGGAAGCTGTCTTTCTCTGAGTTCGTAACTTTCCTAGCATTTTGTCCTTTTCCAAGCTCTGGCCCCTTCTGACAACATGCCCAAAGTATCTGAGACCTGAGAAGTATTTAAGGAAGTTTCACTCACTTTACCTCTAAGGAACATGCTGGTTGCTATCAGAGATAGCTAAATTCAATGGAAGAGTCTACACACACAAGATTGCACTATCTTCTGACATAATTTCCAACTTTGGACTCAGGTTTGATAATTCATTAAAATGACTTACAGAATTCACAGAGAGCTTTAATATTCACAGTTACGATTTAGTAAATGAGGAAGCAGGAGTGTCATCCATTTCCAAACAGCGTGCCTCTGGAAACTATGAACTTTGAGAAACGATAGTTATTGAAAGGCTTCAGGTCTTTTATTCATAGGTTTGGTATGAGTCTTGTTCAACTCAAAGACAATCAACAACAACAACAACAACAACAACAACAATGCAGGTTAAAATCTAGGAGAAAGACACATCAGGCAGACTTAGCAGAGTTCCAAAAATAGTGCTTCCAGTTGTTTTCTTGAGGATTCAGGAGAGCATTACTCTTTTCTGATATTTATATATGGCAACCACAGGCATTTACTCAAGCTTTTATGTCCTGGGTCCAGAGCCTTTATTTGGGCTCTGATTGGTGCTGCTCATTTTACTGATCTTAGTG